AAATTATTATGAATAAATTATTTGGACATTTTTACGTATTGAGTATGATAGACAAGTTATGCCTGGAGGTGTATTTTTCTTTGATTTTAGTGCGTTTGCGTATTCGTCTAAAGTAAACGGGGTGTTCAGATATGTGTCATTATCCCCCGCGTCATTAAGGTGTTTTCTTATTCTGTTGAGGTCTTTATTTTTAATTTCGAAAAAAATCTTTAATAAAATGTTGATTAATAATTGCTTGTTGGAATTTAATTTGTTTTTTCAAATTTGTTTTTCCTTCCGCGTTTTTCCCTATAATTGGTATTTTTGTCGGTGGTGTCCGTTGTATTTCTTTAATTTTATTCCATACGGTTTAAGCATTAGTTTTATTGTTTAATGAGCTACAAAATTCGATCCAGTGTTTTTCTTTGTATTTTTTACATGTTTTGTTGAATTTATGTTTTGCTATTTTTTTATTTTTTTTATAATATTACGTTGCTTAGGTTTTTAGTGTATGTGTTAATATAATTGTCTCGAACTTCGTTTAGTTTATCTTCTTTGCAATTGTCCTGGAACTTTGGCCTATCGGCTTTATCAAATATCCATTTTGGCGGGAATTGAATTGTTTTTCTAATTGGTCTAAAATTCAATTTTGCCAGTATGGGATAGTGGTCTGATCTTAGAATGCTGCTACTTACTGACCAAGTGCTTAATAGATTGGTTATTTCTAGTGACGAGACAGTAAGATTTCAATGTTATATGCCACCGGTTCTAATGTCTATCCAGATTCCTTGATCGGGTTCGTTGAATTATGTAATGTTATTATCTATGAGACACGTTCTAGTATATCCCCTCTTTAGTTATTTTGTCATTACTTCCCCACATTACATTAGCAGCATTAAACTCTCTAGATAAGATACAGTGTCGGTATTTTGATGTTATGTTCGACATTGTATCTAGATCTTCGTTCTCTTATGTTATTCTGGGACTTATATATTGTGATATGCTATAGTGCTAAGCATATCACTTGTGGTGTCGGTGCTGGGAAAGATTCATCACAATTGTTGTACATGTATACTGCTATTATGCACATATTTTTTGACTCTCTCGCTACTTCTTTTCTATTCCATCTTTCAATTATAATATTATATATACTGATATATAGCCATCTTTTGATGTACATATATGTTTTATTCAATTGTAAGGAAAGGGCGATTATAATGTTCATGTAACTTGTGCCCAATTATTTTGCTGAATTAATGGCAATAAAACAATGTAACCTATTCTTTCGGATACTTTGATTTTTTATCTCATTTTTTTTTCTTTAAATTTAATTATAGCAATGTCTGTATGTTGTGTAAAAGGTTATTTAAACTTGTTATGCCAGCTGTGAGGCCGCGATCATTCTAGTTGTTTTCCTCATTCTGTAAGGCGTTTGTTTTGAGGTCGTCTCCCCTTTATTAGATTTAGATTTCATCTGTTTCTTAGTTTTATTTTTCTTAACTGTTCCTGGAGTTTCTGTGGATTTCCTTCGGTTTCAGGGAATTTCGGGTGGGGAGTTGACGGTTGTTAGACATGGGTCTCTAGGGATTTTATTGACGTATCTTCTGTCACTACTGAACTTGTACTATGTGATGGGGAGGGTACGCTAAAGTTTGGGGAGGATGTTTAACAGTAGTGTTTTGATCTGGTTATTGGTCTACGGTAATATCAAGTCAAATACCTAATTCTTGAATTAGAGTATTGTGAAATATGTTATACAGCTTTGCTGGGTTTTTTTTCTGTAGATTGGCCAGTGATATAAAAAGTGAACCTTACGTGTTTATTAACTGTTGCCTGGTGACTGGTTTAATACCGAATTCGGGGAGAGCATGTTTAATTTGAAATTTAACTAGAGTTCCTGTTGTAGTTTAGAAAGAGGAGGTTAACGTTTTGTTGCTGATAATTGCTTCCGCGTAGGATTTGTGTTGTGTTTTATTCCTTTCTGTTTCAGTTTCGTTATTATGTATCTTATTATCTTGCTGCTTTTTTTATCCGTTTATAAAAGGGTTAACTGTGAACATTGTATTACCACTGTGGGATTTAGGGAGATTTGAACAAGAGGAGTATTGACGTGGTTTGTTTTCCTTTGAAATGTACCATACGTGTGGCTGTAACTACATAGGGGCTAGGAAATTGTTTTAGATAATGTTCACGAAAATGTTGTACACTAGTCCTCTACTATATGTTAGTTTTTTTTTGCATTTATTGTGTTTCTGTTTTATGAGTTTGGTTTTTGTCAGGCGGTTACCTTTTTTTGCGGTCCAGAGGTCCACTCGATTTGTAGACGAGAATGGTAGACCTCTAACGTTTTTTTGTGTTGAGGGCCCTCTAATCTGTATGACTGTTAGGCGGATTACTAGAATGAACCCTGATGGTAGGACCTGGATTAAGGAGACCCCTACATGTGCCTGGATGTCGGCCACTGCCCCTTTCGGATCGATTATTTTATATGGGTGATATTTTTACCTTTAGCTTTTACTACAATTACTTCTTGCATATTTGTAGTAGGCTGGTTATATTTCTAAAGGGGATGGGGAGATGATGTATTGTTCTATATAGGGATTTACAACGAATAACAGAAGGGGGAGTGAGTATAATACGTATAACGTGGTTCGAGATTAAGGGTAGAAACTATAGGGATAGAGCGTATGTAGTGAGAGTATCTGTTTTCTGATGTTCTGGGTTAAGCTGTCTCTTTCTGCGTTTTTGTTGTCGAAACATCTGTAAAAATAATAATTGTACACACTGATGGAGTCCTTACAATTTTCAACTATCCACAGAGCAACACACTTTGACAATGATTTGGGATACTATGGGTGGGAGGGAGTGCGATACTCAGTACCACTTTTGTAGTGATATATCATCCCTAATCATATACTAGTAATACAACTAAAACTATATCATACTCTATGCTAACGGGGAGGTCTTCTAAGTCTGGCTTGGGTGAGGTCAGGGAGTCTCGAAGGTGTTGACAGCCCGGAGGTGTTCCTATTGATTGTGGTGAGTGAGCACTAGTGATGGCTGGTAGGTTGGTTGCTGGGTTAAATGTCTACACTCATGACGAAGTCGGTGTTCGGTCGTCATTTAGCCCTAGGGATTGGTTGGTTGAGGTGTTTTCCGTCTTCACTTCACGGACCTATTGACTAATTGACCAATCAAATTGGGCTCCATCGGCCCGGGTCGCGAATAAAGGGGGGGGGGGGCTGCTGTACTAGCGAATGACTACTATATCACCCTTACCCATGACGTTTATATATCCCTATTTTTATAGACAGTGGTCAGTCTATGGTTAATGGCCCCTATGCTATTTCGACGGTGTGGCTGGTAGGACTCATTGAACCCCAGTATTTGGTGGGCTGGGTGCTTTCGTCAGCTGGTAAATATAGATAGAGTATAACTGTGCTACAGTAGGAAACGGGGCCATGGCTCTGCAAGAAAGGGGATGTGCTCTCTTCATTTACTTTATAGACAAATATATATATTTATGTAATAAGTGGCATTACCATATCTAAACTAAGTACAGAAAGAAGGACAAGAAACTTTTGGTAGAACAAAAAAAAAAAGAAATAGGAGAAACCCGCACCAACAAAATATATGTCGCACTACTTGACGACGTATACATATATATCACTAGTGGTGGTATAAGTGGTTGGGCTAATCCCTACTGACAGAGACTTCCTCCGGCCGTTTATCAAACATAAATCATATATTTCTGGAATGCTTTGTTGATATAACGTAAATACTTGTAACATGCATTTGGTCCCTTAGAAGAGAAACTCTTTACACTTTAAACAGAAAAGTCACTCTTATATAGTTTAGTCCTGTCCTATATACCGTCTAACCAATGTATAACCAGAGAAAACCTGAGAGGTTCGACCAGTCCTTACCTTTACAGCATATTAACTTACCTTTTCTCCAATAACAGTTTACAGATTATATTTTTTCAACAAGGATTATGACCAAAACAATTATAATAATTAATGAATTACTTCAACATAAATAACAAATTTATTACCAGAGAAAGTTTTATTGGTTGGGCGAATCCCTACCGTCAGTCATATATATATATATGTATATTTGCCAACACTTTCTCTCTTAGACTTCCTTTGTTATGATGTCATCAGTTGTAAATGATGCAGGGCAGGGATAATTAACGTGGTCGTAGATAAAAAGGACTGATATTAGCTGAAGATGATAAAAGTTAAATAATACATATCACCAGATATAACTGACTCAGGGTACGTAGATATCACCTATTACATGTAAGTGGTTAATGCATAGTATACACCCTACTAACTATGGGACACAACATTTTACTGCAGTACATATATGTCTATGGATAATTTATACACGTTTTGAGATATTGACACAAAGTAAACACACACAATTATAGCGATTCTACCAACTCATGTACTGAATGTATAGTTACGTTGTGCTTTTACTGTTGCATACGCTTTATTATATTTTTAAAACTAATTTATGTAGAGATTGTACATTATGTACTGTAAGTCAATTTGATATAGGGTCAATGTCTTTATAATCACTGCGTTAATGTCTGCATAGTTACATGTCCATCCCTTATGTGTATTATTGGAAATACAGATGTATTCGTCTCGAGAATGCAATATTATTGGTCTCTGCAAATTCATCATCGTACGTAGTTTTGGCTTTTATCAGTTAGTGTAGACCTGCATGTCAGAGAAATGAAAAATATCCCGATCGCCAGGACTTGAATACCTCATCTTATTTCGTACCAGTACGTACAGTTCTTGAGCTTATTTTGTAATTTGATTACCGACTAAGAAATAACCGTTTTGTCTAGTCATGTATTATGTAACACGTGCTTCTGGGTCTGATTCTTGAATAGGTGCCTTTATTAAGTATTACTCCGCCCTAAACTCCGCCTGTTATGCCGCCATTTTGTCCCGCCTACTGCCGTGGATAAGCTCTGTGCTGGATGAGAAATAAACGAGCATGTAGACCAAGCGACATTGACATATTCTGAGGCTCTACATGTGATTCAAACATTATTTCTAAAGTCATCCTACATCACGTTCATATATATATAAGGTAAGTAATTATGTTATGATGCTATGCCAGTTCTTCCGGAACAGTTTTTTACTGTAATTATGAAAGAATTGTTGGTGTACTAATTAACGTTTCTTTATGCTAAATGGATCACTTAAGGTATATGGGCTCATAACTTTCCTAAAAATGATGAAGTATGGAATTTGCTACGTGTACCCATGTCAGGAACAATATCAATAATGACATTTGCAGAAATCATTGTCGACAATATTGTTTATTTTATCTGAAATGTAACTTTTAAATGCAGAATTTGAGTGGTGCGAAATTGCAATGAATACTAAAATTAATGAGAAACTTACTTGAACATGCTTTTTTGAAGTATCCATGTATTCACTATTATGGAGAAGAAATGTTATAAAATTGTCAAGTCAGAATTATGGCATATATTTCCACTGAAAAAATCACAACTGAGCACAAAGCAAACAAGGCTGACTGAGATTTGAAAAAAAGCATGCAAATCAAGTGATTTCTTACCTGTACACCATTCATAACACTACATGTTCCCACTCAGGTAACCTTACTTGACTTGTACCAATAGCCTTGTTAGCTTCATTAATTATTAACTTCCGTATTTGTTTTAGATTTTGAGGAAATGTGATGAGTCCATCACATACTATATACACTGACATGACCCTGTATGAAATACCTTAACATGTTAACATTTCCAATTAAGTTTCTTAAACGCTATAATTTGTTTAAACTGTTTTGAACAATAGATGCATTAGATTATATTTTATGTAAATTAAATGTCACCGTCGCGTGTGTCGATTTCTAAATCTCAGACTCTTTTAAAACTTGAAAATTAACAATTTACGAGAGTTCAGGTTCATCAACCCCCCTATAAATATAAATGTAAAGGTTACACCGAATGCCTACCCCCTGGTAAGTCATAAGCAAAAACCTTTATTAAATATCGGAATATATATGTAATTTTAATATATTGAATGTGTACATAAGCAAATATGAAAAGCCTAACTAGAGCGTTGTTTTTGTTGATCTCTAATATTTACTGATTCAGCATGAGATAAGATGAACTTTATTTAAGTTGGCAAGTCGAGGAAGAACAATATAACACAACCTCTAATGAGATTCTAAGGCCGACATGACAATTAGGGGAGACCGGGGAAAGTTCGGCTCATTTTTATTAAAATCCGTTCTTGGAAGTATGGCAGCATGTTCGTTTTTCAAGAACTATTTAACTTTTCCTTTTCCGGCAGAAAAAACAACAAGTTTGGCTTCCAAGTTTGTTCAAATGAATGACCTACGACCATTTTTAAGGTGGCAGGGGTCAAATATGTTCAAAACCTTTAAACTACTTTTTCAGAATAATCAATAGGATTAGGGTGATGATATTTGGCCAGTACCATGCTTGGATAAAGGGCTACCAAGTTTGTTTAAATAAACAACCTTTACTTAAAATCAATGTCAGAGGTCACATATGTTTGGAAACCTTTAAATAACTTCTTCTTAATAACCAAGAGGCATATGGTGTTGATAAGTTGTCAGTAGCATGCTTGGATGAAGGGCTACCAAGTTTGTTCAAATGAATTACCTTTACTTATATTCAAGGTCACAGGAGTCAATTACGTTAAAAACCTTTAAACAACTTCTTCTGAATAACCAAGAGGCATATGGTGATGATATGTTGTCAGTAGCATGCTTGGATGAAGGGCTAACGAGTTTGTTCCAATGAATGACCTTGAAGTATATCCAAGTTCACAGGGATAAAATATGTTAAACAACCTTTAAACTACTTCTTCTCTATAACCCAAAAACCAAGGATGATGATATTTTGCCAGTAGCATGCTGGGATAAAGGCAACCATAGTTGTTCAAATGAATTACCTTTACTCATATTCAAGGTCACATGAGTCAAATACGTTAAAAACCTTTAAACAACTTCTTCTGAATAACCAAGAGACCTATGGTTTTGATATTTGGCAAGTAGCATGCTATGATAAAGGACTACCGAGTTTGTTCAAATTAACTGCATTCATCCATTTTCAAGGTAACATGGGTCAATTGTCTTAAACAACCCCTAAACAACATTTTCTGCATAACTAATAGGCTGATGCTATTTGGTCAGTAACATGATGAAATGAAGCGTTAACAGGTATGTTAAAATGAATAACCTTGACTTATATCCCAAGTCACAGGGGTGAAAGATGTTAAAACATTTGAACAACTTCCTTCTTCTGTATAACCAAGAAGCCTAGGGTGGTAGTATTTGGTCAGTAACATGCTGCAATACAGGGCTCTCAAGTTTGTTCAAATGAATGACCTTGACCTGAAATTCAAGGTAACGAGTCAGATATGTTTAAAAACCTTTAAACAACTTCTACTTAATAATTAAAAGGCCCAGGGTGATGATAATTAGTCGGTAACATGATGATTAAAGAACTGCCAAGTTTCTTCAAATGAATGACCTCAACTTGTATTCAGAATCACAGTGGTCAAACATGTGTAAAAAGCATTACATGACTTCCTCAGAATAACCAAAATGCCCAGGGTGAAGCTATTCGGCCAGTGACATGCTAGGATGCAGGGCTACCAAGTTTGTTCAAATGAATGACCTTGACTTATATTCAAGGTCACAGGGTTCAAACATGTTTTAAAACCATTAAATGATTTATTCTGAATAACTAGCAGGCCTAGGCCTAGGGTGATGATATTTGGCCAGTGACATTCTGTGATGAAGGGTTACCAAGTGTGTTTAAATGAATGACCTGCGCCTATTTTCATGATCACATATGGGTCAAATATGTTGCAGCATACTGGGATGAGAGGATATAAAGTCTGTTCGGCTCAATGTCCTTGTTTGACGTTCAAGGTCACATGGGTAATACTTTTTTTGTATAGATTATTTTGAATCAAACACTGATATGTTCCATGTAGCTGTCTTTTAGTCCACTTTTAAATTTGATATTAATGGATCACATCGGCAGTTTGAAGTTTATAAATACGTCAACAGATTCTGTTGATCAAATTTAGTGACTGTTTTTTTTCTCTCAAAATTATACATAGAAACAAAATGCATTTGTTAATAGTACGAAAATATGGCAAAGACTGAAATATTCTTATAAAAATGTATGCTGGTCTACGATGACTCTGTACATGAATACAGTGGAACCCACTTATTAAGATGTCTGTTATTATGATAAATCGCCTATTATAATATTGTTTTCCCATGTGTCGACTTTTTCCTTCTTTCACTAAGCAAACTGATATCGTTTAGTATGATATAGTCAAAGGTGGAAACCCTCTTATTATAATATTTTTTCTGCTGTGACGTCACCCGGCGTCAATAGTTTACTTTAAACAACTTCTTTTTAATAACCACAAGGCCAGAAGCAAACTGGGACGAAGGGATTTCAGGTTTGTTCATATAAATTACCTTTACCCATATTTAAGGTCATGGGGGTCGATTGTCGTAAACAAAAACAAACAACTTCTTCTGAATAACCAAAATGCCCAGGGTGAAGCTATTTGACCAGGAGTATGCTAGGATGCAGGGCTACCAAGGTTATTCAAATAAATGACCTTGACTGCTAGTCAATGTCGCATGGGTCAAATATGTTTGAAATCATAAAACAACTTCTACTAAAAAAAAACACATGAGGTCCCATACGTTAATATTTGGCTAGTAGCATGTTTGGATGAAGAATATACCTACGGTATGACAAGCTGAAGCGTGTGGACGTGGTGAGTGGTTTTTGTCAATGCGGCTTATTGGTTGCATTTTCCGGTCTCGAAAATAGTAACTTTCAAAAACATTCGCTCACAAAATACTAGATAGAAACAAACGGGAATATAAATTATGTTTAAAAAAACCATCAACGTAGGTATATGTGCTGCATGCACGTGGAGTTTACTCATGCTCAGATTATGTTAAATTGAATCTGATTTTCATGTCTAGGATAATTGGCTGACCGATCTTGATGACCATCATGAGAAGTGAAGTTATGTGCCGAGTAGCATTATTGATAATTTGAGGCTAGTTTTTAACATATGCTTCAAGTGCAAACCAATACCTCAACGGTTCTTATAAAACATTATCTCAATATATACAGCGTATTTGACCTGTTAGTCCTGCCTATTTTAGATAATATTTATTTGTAATATAGAAATAATCATTTTGTGTATAGCACGTACGTGTTCAACTTAATTCCCTATAACCTTGATCAGTACGGTAGCACTACGAGATCAACAGGGGGGGTCAGTCGCGCACGCCTACACGTACGGGTACCAGTCGTCCAATGCTAGTATTATGTCAGTACACGTACGAAATAGATATCAAAACAAAATACTTCAGCGAACATGACAGTATACGTTTTTCATATATTAAAATATGGGGATAACTCTATTTAAGAATTATTATAACGAACATGCTTTCTATTTGCTTTGGGGTTTTTTCATAGAAACGTTTACATATATGTCTCCGAGTGTTAATACATGCGTGTTTATAAAATCAGAGATTAATTGCACAAAGATATATCCTCTTTCTAATACTGAAAGTAAAATGTACACTTTTTAGACTTTCACGCATTAAAATGTAATCAGAAAACGTGTAGGGGTGGCATCCGCACTATCGGGAATGTCTGTATAATCATACTTTATTTCATTATACGACAAATCACAGTTTATCTTTTAATGTGGTGCACACAAATGCACATCTGTAGAATATACGTGTATTAGCTCGTTAACGTGTTGACTGACCTCTCGTGTGGAGATAACGTGTATACATGTCGAACTTATACAGGTGAGAAACACAACATTGTTCAATAGAAAGGTCGCATTACGATGGTAACATGAGGGGTCAGACGTGCTGGCCTACATATATACGGGAACCGCGTATGACACGTATAGATTGGATATATATATATATATATGACAGATGGTAATGTCAGTACATGTACGACACATATGAAATACAGATGTCAGTCAGAAATAATAAATATCTGTGTCAGTGTAGTAAACACGGAA